ATTATTAGCTAAACAAATCTGTTTAATGTCCATGGGCCTCACCTGTAAATAAAGTTTATTTTACTTACAACTTAATATCAGTTGGAGTGAGGCAAAATGCTACCAAAATAGAAGGAAAAACTTTGAGAACCATAAATAGGATTTTAAAAAACCCTAATTTTGCCTCTATTCTCCATCAAAGCTTTTATCTTTCTAATATTTTACAGCAGTCACAGCTATCAAATAACCTGTCTGGTCAGGACTTATTTAGAGGCTTATAACTGACTCTTCGCTTTTTCTTGCCCGAGCCACTTTCATGCTGATATAGCAACCGTGCCATTGTGGGCCAAATCCTCAGCTGGCATGAACTGGCACAGCTCCACTGACCTCAAAGGAGTTATGCCAGTTCACACCAGCTGAGGATCCGGCCCTTAGTTCAATAGACACAGACACAGCTTTTATTTTCTTTTATTGCTATGACAAGAAAATATAATACGAAAGCTCTACCTAGAGCAGGCTTGGAATGAATTGTTGCACCATTAATTTTGCAATGTTAAACATCTCAGGCCAAATTTTGCTGTCACTAATGTTGGGGTAAATCCAGGGCACCTGAGCTGAATCTAATGGAGATATTCCAGATTTACTCCAGTGTAATTGGCAATAGAACCTGTCTCTCTCTGAGGTTACATTTTGTAGTTGTTTTGTTGAGTTCTTAAGAAGATTAATTTTTGATAGCTGCCAAAGCCAAATAGAATCAGGTTTGTATCCAGTAAAGAATAGAAATAAATGGAACAAGCTGCATGAAGATGTTCAGCATAACAGGTAACTTGAGTCTTGCAGACAAATTCAGTGCCATCAAAGCCAAATCTGAAAAGCTCTTAACAGAAACCATATTTGTGAAGATCAGATGGGAAAAATGCTGTTCTGAGCTGTATAACAATATCCCATCAATCAACTCAACAGCAATAGCATCTATGAACCATCATGCATATCCAAATGCATAACCAGAAACAGGCATAATACAGACAGCTACAAACTCCTCAGTCTGAGATCTAGGAAAGTGGTTCTCAAACTCGGGCCGCCGCTTGTTCAGGGGAAGCCCCTGGCGGGCCGGGCCAGTTTGTTTACCTGCCGCGTCCGCAGGTTCAGCCGATCGCAGCTCCCACTGGCCGTGGTTCGCCGCTCCAGGCCAATGGGGGTTGTGGGAAGCGGCGGCCAGCACATCCTTCGGCCCACGCTGCTTCCCGCAGCCCCCATTGGCCTGGAGCGGCGAACCACGGCCAGTGGGAGCCGCGATCGACCAAACCTGTAGACACAGCAGGTAAACAAACCGGCCTGGCCCGCCAGGAGCTTTCCCTGAACAAGTGGCGGCCCGAGTTTTGAGAACCACTGATTTAGGAGACATATTGGTAGGAGGTGGTGTTGTGTTTTTTATCTCCAGCCTCAGAGTATGTGAGAACTAGAAATGCATCATTCTAATACTGCATTTTACAACAATTCAGTTAAAAATATCACTGAGTTTCCACATAGTCTTTTTTAGTATGTACTAAAAAGCTCATGGTAGCAGAACTGTCCTTAAGATTAAATGGGTATTATAATGGTATGTTTATTGGCAGTATATTATTTTGCCACTAGATGTCTCAATTTGCTAAGTAGTGTTCCCTGGTAAACAAGGGAGACAAAGCTGGAATGCACGCTGTGAGGAAGCCTGGTTTTGCCTGTGGTTTGTAGTTGTTTTCTTCAGTAATATACACCTCCCGTATAAGACAGACTGTGATTCAATATGTCATTATAGGTGCTTTCCCTGTGCATCCCTGTGGTCATTCACCAACATTCCAGTCCCAAATCACTCATCACCAGCTGTGTAGTTTCAGCTCACCCAGTTCTCCACTCCAAAAGGGTGTCTCTCTGTTGATTTTTGGGTAGTAGACCTATTTATATACAAGATGCACCCCAGCATCCTTTGCACTAACTGTTGTAGCAGTTCCTTTAAATCAGCAGCGCTGCAACTGCAAAGCATTCAGGGACATCTTGGGTAGCTAAAGGTGCCCAGTCTCTATGGCTAGGCAGAAACTGGCAGCATTCTAGGGTGAAGCAATGACACAGAAAAGGGATTGGATGGAGGAATGCCACAGTAAGTGAGTTAATAATGGGAGTCCCAAATCCCATTTTTATCAATGTCAGCAAGTCTTCAGCCAATTTATTGCCATGTGTGAACAGCACAGTTTGTTGAAAGTAACAGATACACAATGCTGCTAGAATTTTCATAAGAATTCTCTAAAGTAACAAACTAACTCCCAGTTAATGAGCTCATTCATTCTGGGAGATGGTAGATGAAGAGTTTTCACTGTTGTGTGCTGACTTCCCAGCTGTAAGCACTGGAAGTCATGCAGCTCAGTTTTGCTTCACCTGAATGGCAATGCAGATTATAGCATATCCGGGTATGTTTTCCTAAAGTGTCTTGGTAGTAAATTATGTTTCAAGCTACTAGGCTCTCTGGATCTCAAAGAAACAAAAGTAACTTTTAGCCACTACCAGCATTAACACTAGTTAGTGTCTTTGTTTCACGGTGGTGGAAGTGGACACAGGGACTTGGAGACAAAATGCTAAATCCTGGTGCAGTGGGAGGTTTTCCATTTCCTTCAATACGGGGGCCCAACCCCCAGATATCTTCTCTCCTCCAGTGCAGGGCTCAGGCACATTGGCTGGGCTTTTGCGGGAAGCTTCCACACCCCACGGTTGTCAAGCCAGCCCCTCACTCAGCACCTAAGCCATTCAAGAATATCAAGAAATTAAGAAACTTTGTTTCTTTAAAGGTTTGATTCTGCCTCCCAAAACTCCCAGTGATCGTGTGGAAGCAATACAGAGTCAGACCATACAGTAATATTAGTCAGGTGATTGGCAAAACGTTAACTCTTTGTGAACAAATCAGTGTTTGAGCTCTGTGCCATTGCAGCAGAGGTAAAGTTTGCAAATAACTGCACAAATCCAGTTATTCCTTTCCTTCTCCAGGGCCGCCCAGAGGGGAGGGCAAGTGGGGCAATTTGCTCCCAGCCCCACAGGGGCCCCCACGAGAGTTTTCGGTGGGTCTTCGGCGGCAGGTCTTTCAGTGCCGCCGAACACACCTGGAGCAAGTGAAGGACCCACTGCCAAAGAGCCGGAGCTTCTTCCGCTCCGGGTCTTCGGCGGCGAGGGCTCCTTCCACTCCGGGTCTTCGGCGGCAATTCAGCGGCGGGGGCTTCTTTCGCTCTGGGACCCACCGCCGAAGGGCCCCGAAGACCCGGAGTGGAAGGACCCCCGCCGCCAAAGACCCCAGGCTCCCTGAATCCTCTGGGCGGCCCGGTCCTTCTGAAGATCACCTTTCAGTGATTCCTTTTATTTCTTCCTCAGAACAAGCCTGGGAAGGGCACATTTGGCCTTATTGCTTAAAGATGCCAAACAACACCGAGCATAATTTCACTGCTTCCAGAAGGCTTCTGATAGTGACCTGCAATGCCCTTTCTTTGTGTTCCCACGACAGTTTGGGGCAGCTGCCAATACATAAGGAAATTCCAAAAACATTCTGAGGCATATCTCAGAGCCAGAGCATGGTACCATGTACCAGAGAGTCCATGTTTTAACAGGCAGTTCTCAGATAACTGTGAGAGTTTGAAAGTCTTGTCCACTTTCCATTATATAGCTCAGTATCTCCCTGGAAATTATCAGAAAGGAAGTACTGCAAGGGATAGGTGGGGCCTCAGTAAACAGCATTAGGATATGAATGCTGTGACTAGAAAATGTTCTCACGATATCTGCAAAAATCCAAACTGACAATGCCCTTGGTCCTTGGTTAGAATCAGGGAACTTACTTACCTGGACAAACTGTAGTGGAACAAATGGCTTCTTCTCTCTCTCATGTTCCATATTGCTCACATTTCTAAATCTTGTAAATGAAAACATGTTGTCCTGTGGATCTCTTATCTCTTTACCTATTTATGATCATAAAAAAGAACTGCAAATGTGTATGTACATTTAAAAATTGTGTATGATGGACTCTGTCCTTCACCCCTCCTCCAGGTATGCTACTTGTCATCTTAGGCCCTGATTCAGGAAATAAAGTCCATCCCAGTTCAGGTCAGTACTTAAACACATGTTTTAAACCAGTGGTTCTCAAGGTGGCCCACAAAGTGTTACCAGGGCCACAGGGGATGGGTGGCAGGACAGCGGCAGCCCGGACCCCGACCCCTGGACCCCAGCTGTGTGGGCCTGGCTGGCTGCCCCGGACTCCCGCTGCGGGGCTGGCCGGCAGCTCCAGACCCCACGGAATGGGCCGGTTGTCCCGATCTTGGACCCCCATCACGCAGCTGCACTCGATCCCAGTGCGGGGCTGGCAGCCTCAGCCCCTGGAGCTCACAGGGCTGAGCCGCTGCCCCCGACCCCATGGGACCGGCCGGGAGCCCTGACCCCGTGGGGCCAGCTGGCAGCCCCAACCCTGGACTCCCGCCACGTGGGGCGGGCTGACAGCCCTGCCCCTGCCAGGCAGTCCGGACCCCTCCGCACAGGGCAGCCGGGAACCTGGCGACTCTGGCACACTGGCAGCCTTTAGCACACAGCAGAGCTGGGCTGCAGCTATGTGCCAGTTGGTCCACGGGTTGAGAACTGCTGCTTTAAACACATGCTTAAAGATAAGCAACCATTTGTGCTGTCCTGAATTGCTAGGGATCTTTCTTCTTCGAGTAGTCTTGTGGGTGTTCTACTGTAGGAATATGTGTGACCCTGCGCTTCTGATCAGAGATCTTTGGTGTCAGTCGGCCTGCACATGCGCTTCCCCCCTCGTGTTCTACCACGAGGCTAATTAGTGCTTCACAGGCAAACCAGCCTCAGTTCCTTCTCAACTTCCCCTGCCTAGAGACGGAGCAATTAGCAGTCTGCTCACTGATATTTTACTTCTTTAGAAATGTGTTCTTAGCTGGTTTTTTGTGCTTGGTCTCAGAGTTCCCTTTGGTTTTTTCTTCCCGTTTAAAAAAAACAAAACGTTCTTTACTTTAACCCTTCCCCCTGCCTATCCTGATGATTGCTCCCAGTCAGAGGCATGCTTGGTTTGACCATGTTTAAGAGGTGCCTCTCCTGCGGGGAGGCCATTCTTGTCTGTGACGGACATTCCCACTGTGTCTGTTGCCTTGGCGATGGCCACATTCCACAGAAATGTACCTTCTGTCAGCAGCTGAAGGCCAGATCCCAAAAGAAAATGAGAACCGAAACTGAAACCCTTCCTTAAGGAGGGAGTTCTTCAGCCTGCGACTGACCTGTGGCCTGAGTCTCCCAGGTGACGTGGGTCATCTCCGCAGCCTTCCACCTCCAAGGATGGTGAACCGAGGAAGAAACCCTCAGATTCCCCACATAAGACCTCTAAAAAGAGAGCTTCGAGCCCTCACAGTGAGCCCAGAACCAGCCAGAGGAGATCCCGGACAAACTCGGTCTCCTTGGTACCGACAATATCAAAGGCGTCTAAGCATGGTACCCACAGATTGCATGGGCCCCCTGCAACAGACACTGCTGGTAAGCCTAAGGACCTTATGAGCACAGGCATCGAAGCACCGGTACCACCAGTCAGGGACAGGAGTGTAGGCCGTACCAACTCCGGACAGATGGCACTGGTACATACACCCTTGCTACCGATTACTGTGAAACAACCATGATCAGACCGCTCGGTGCAGCCAAGGTCTCCGGTCAACTCAACACTGGCAACCACTGGTGGTAACAATTACTGCGGCACCACAAGAGTCACTCGGTCACCTTCCTCAAGAATGTCCCTGTCTCAGAAATCTGCAGAGCAGCCACCTGGGCGTCCGTGCATGTCTTTGCAGAACACTATGTGATTGCTGGGGACTCTGCTTCTGACGATCGCTTCAGCTATGCAGTATCATCATCCATAACAGAATCAAATCTGAGGCCCCAACCTCCCATCCAGGATACTGCTTGGGACTCACCTACAGTGGAGCACCCACAGGGACACTACTCGAAGAAGAGGAAGTTACTCACCTTGTGCAGTAACAATGGTTCTTCAAGATGTGTGTCCCTCTGGGTGCTCCACGACCCACCCTCCTCCCCTCTATTTCTCAGTTCTTGATAAGGACTGCGGTAGAGAGGGAACTGAGGGTGGTTCGCCCGTGCAGCACTAATTAGCCTCAAGGCAGAGTACGATGGGGGAGAGCACATGTGCTGGCCAAACGGACACTGCTACCAAAGATCTCCGATCAGAAGCACAGCAACATGCATATACCTACAGTGGAGCACCCATAGGGGGACACATCTTGAAGAACAATTGTTATTACACAAGTCAAATAACTCTCTTTCCTGGACTGGGGCCTTAGATAATAAGCTCTTCAGAGCAGGGAGCATGACTTCAGATGTGTGTGTGCAGCACCTGGCAGAGCCAGGGATCCTGCTTGGGGCCTCTGGGCAGTACCCCAGTATATGTGTTCAATATTAATAACTGGAAGTTAGGATTCCTGGGCTCTTTCTCAGCTCTGACACTGACTTGCTGCAAGACGTTGGGTAAGTCATTTAACCTCTCTGTTCCTCAGTTTGACTAATTATCTTCCTTTTAGAGATACTTACCATGAGGGACTCTGAGATTCTTAACTAGCAGTGATGGTCTGAAATTGGAAGGTGTTAGAGAAGCACATAGCATTTTCATTTCTGATACTTGAAGTTGGGGCTTTTTCCTGGAATGTGGTTGCATCTGGGGGAAGTTTGCACGAATTACATGAGTATTTGCGATATCCATTGAAAAGGGGAGGGCTGGGAGCATGTAGCAGGTCACATGCCACAAAGGGAAATTTATACCTAGGCTTGGCAAATTTTGGTTTTTATTTTTATAATTTCAGTGGACCACATCTGTGTTTATTTTTATGCATATTTCTATTTTTATCTATGTAAATTTTTGCAGTTCTGGGAAATTATGGGTGTGTGTGTCAGGCCATAATTATTTAATGATAGATGTTGAGATTCAAAAAGTTAAAGCTCTAGAACCGTTAAAACACAAATTGTCAACATCAGTGTCAAAATATACAAAATAAATATCCTTAAATCAAACTCTAAGTTCCCAAGCAGCATTTTTCTTACTTTGCCTAGCAGTAAATTTTGATCATCATCGGTGGAAATTATCTTTTCGTTGGTTTGTGTGTGTATACAGTGAAATCACCATTTACCGATATTTAAAGATAATAATCGAATCCTTCCAAGCCTAGCTATACACATAGATCTCTCTCCACCATGGAAACTATTTCCAACAACCTCATGGTCAAATTTTGCTGTCAGCTGTACTACTGTCAATCTACAGTAATTCCATTGAAAGCTGAGTATGGACCTAAGTTGTGTCCAGCTAAAAGGTGCTATTCAGAGCTTTCTTCACTAAATGTAAGGCCAGAAGGTACCATTATGATCATCTAGTCTGGCCTCCTGCATTATGCAGGTCATTGAGTTTCACTCAGTGATTCCTACAATATGCTCAATAAATTGTGGTTGAATTGTAGCGTGTCTTTTAGGAAGACATCCATTTTTTAGACTCGTGGTGCATGTATATAACTTCTGTTAATAAAAACAATGTGTACGTTCTGCGAGTTAATGATTTAGGCCTGTTTGTGGATTATCAGTGAGAGGTGAAAGGCAGAAAAGGTGTGTATTATTTCATTACAATTGTCAATATATGCTTAGCACTTGATGGAAATGGTATCAGGGAAAGGGCTCCTGGGAGACATTAAAGGAGAGATGCAAACAGGCATAGGGAAGTGGCCAATGGGGAGAGGAGGGGAGCGCAAAGCTTAGAAAGCAGCACATGAGAAGGTATGAGGATGTCAGAAGAAAACGGGAACTCTGGTGGGAGTTTAAGAGGGGAGTAGGCAGCAAGGACAGTGGGAGGAGCTGGGATGAAGAGATGCCCATAGTTATTTGTTAGTCTTTTGTCTATCACTGAGAAAGGTCAATTCCTTCATTCAATAGGTGGTATCCTTCCCACTGACTCTAGGTGGGCTTTGCATAAGATGCTCTGGTTCCTGGCTGACTGATAGTAGCAGATAATTCAGAATAGGTTCATAGACATGGAAAATACAGAGGGGAAAGAGGTGGGATCAGATGATGTGGGCTTGCCTTTCACATCTCCATCTAAGCCGTCTGAGATTTTTGCTTCACTGTTAATCTCTTGCCCTCACTCACTTTCTCCCTCCTCCGTCCCCTGTCTGCATGAAGGGCTGATTCTGCTCTTGCTCTGAACTCAACTCCTTCATCCTGGCTTGTGACGTAACATCAAATGGATTTGTCACCTCCACTGCTGGGCTTTGCTAGGCTAAGATTCTCCTGAGAGAGTCCTTGGCTCTGTAGATCCAACTCTAGGACCTCTGCCAAGAGAAGTGGAACTGTCTGGTGCAGAAGCTCCTGTTCCAGAAAAAGCTCCCATAAAAATAATTAGCTACAGTAATCCAAAGGCTTTTGTATTGTACAAAGCAACAGAGAGTCCTGTGGCACCTTTAAGACTAACAGGTGTACAGGTTCACTTAATTATACTCCAGTGTCCAAGGTGGATGCTGAGGAGGAAGATGGGTGTAAGAGTGC